ATCATTTCTAAGAAGATATTTTTGTTTATTTTCAATTAAAATGGTTAAAAATAATCACAGTAAGGTACTTAACTGTTACCCAGAAATTATTTGATATTGAGATAAAAACAGCTGCATTGAACCTTTAACCTTTAAAGTGCCATGAAAACATTCCATCATTATCTACAGATGAAAAAGCATCATACACAATTCCAAATACAATATCCACTAATATCCTGAGGACCTTTGGGCTGTTGCCATCAGGCCCTGCTGCCTTATATGCTGAGGATATATCTCAGCTCACACATGCCCCGGTCAGAAGTGTTCAAAAGGAGGGAGTTGTCCTTATCCATTGTCACTCTAACTGGAGAGACAGGTTTGGGAGATTTGTTTGCGATGCGAAATCATTGAGATTGTCCCACTGTTGGGCGTCAATTTAACTGGTGGGACCTGGGCCCCAGTCTCCCACTCGGGAAACCAACGTGATTTTAAGTTGCAGGCAGGGCTACCTCAGCATGTCCAACTCACCTTGACTTCACCCGCTCTCAATAATAATCAGAAAAGCCACAGTATGACCACTAGGTGGACTTCATAAGACATGCACTAACAATATGCTAAATCAGTGTCAGTTCAAGTAAATGTAAAAGTGCATTATTTTTGGGGGGCTTGAACTCACAACCTTCTGCACAACAACACTCGCCACTCTGAGCCAACTCCTGTGCTCTGTTGGCTAAGATGTATGGCTTTGAGTGGAATGTGTTCTTGTGCCAAAGACTGAGAGTTTGCGCTCCGCCCTGGGCAGAACTAAATGCACTCTGCCAGTGGCGTGTATTCATGGGTGCCAAGGGAAGCCAGGCTTCCCCCAAAAACTGCCAATCAGCAGTGAGCTAACCTAAGTGAGCTCAACTGTGAATGGTCCTGGCACACCAAAAAAAAGTGTAAAAGGAAGCAAGCCAGTTTGGATTTGGCGTCACTCCTATCAAATGGCATTGAGAGCATATGTCATCGACAGAAACAACTTGAATTGTTGCATCTCGTTGTGTTGTTTTCCTCCGGTGGCTAGCTAGCTAGCTAGCTAAAATTGGCCCGTTCCTAAATTAGCCATGGATGGAGATAGGGATTTGGATTTACTTAATTATCCATATGGCGATTCTGATCCAACCATTAATTCATACATTGTGACCCTGGCCTGAGAGGATGGATGTTCAATATGTAGCTAGATTTAGAAGATTAATGTTAACTAGCTAACATTGCCCATGAAAGGAAGTTTGTCTAGCAAGCAAACATTTTAGCCAGGTAAAAAATAAAAGCGTGTACTGATGTAATAGATTGTTTTGTCAACATGAAAGAGAGGAGGATGGCATTGGCGTTTCTCTACAAGTAGGGTGAGTCAACATGTTTTTTCCACTTGCATACACACACACACTCACACAGAAATCAGAACCATGGACAGCGACGTTATATTTAGCTTACCTTGATTGGACTAAATTGTTTTTGGTATCTTTCAGTTGCGGCCTGTCATTCAGGGTTTTGAGCTACACCTGTTTAGCTCAAAAAATTATAACAAAAAAAGATATACAGTACCAGTCAAAAGTTTGGACACACCTACTCATTCAAGGGTTTTTCTTTATTTTTAAAATTTTCTACATTGTAGAATAATAGTGAAGACATCAAAACTATGAAATAACACATATGGAATCACGAGTGGCGCAGTGGTCTAAGGCACTGCATCACAGTGCTAGCTGTGCCACTAGAGATCCTGGTTCGAATCCAGGCTCTGTCATAGCTGGCCGTGGCCCAGCGTCGTCCAGGGTAGGGGAGGGAATGGCCAGCAGGGATGTAGCTCAGTTGGTAGAGCATGGCGTTTGCAACGCCAGGGTTGTGGGTTCGATTCCCACGGGGGGCCAGTATGAAAAAAAATAATATATATAGTGTTTCTTGGTGTAGCAGTGGTAAGGATTCACTCCATGCTGCTGAAAAGAAAGCTCTGCTGTTGGGACAGCTTTATGTAGGCCCTAACATTTTGTGGGCACCTTTTGTCACCGTTATAGTGCAATTAATGTATTGTTTAGTGTTGTGTTGTGGCTTTGCTGGCATGCATTAAAACAATTTGGGGGGAGTTTGCCCCACCAAGATTTACATGCTAAAATCGCCACTGGTATATTTTAGTTGTCACTGGACTAAGCATAGGTGATTTGATTATGTTGAAGTTGAAATGGTGCTGGAATAGTGGAGGAAGCTCCTGTTTTCTTTGCGACTTGCAGCAACACTCTCAGTAGTTCTAAATCAATAGTTGATTAGTGGCCCGAAAATGTCGGAAACATTAACTTGCTTGACCATGCTGTAGGTCATGTAACTGTTTGTTACATGCAATATGCTTTGTGGACTTCACCAGACAGAAGTTGCTCTCCGGTTTTGTGATGAAACAAAGGTGTGGTTTAATTTATTCTGCTACTGTGTCTTCGTATTGTCTCAGCCTTCAGGCCTATATATCACGGTTGCAAGGCATATGAACTAACAGGTTATAGAGCAAAGAACGCAATTATCACAACACATAGGTTGTAAAATTGCTTTTTTTTCTGGCTTCCCCAGTGATTTTACCTACGAACCGCTACATGTTAAATCATAGAGACATATACAGATATCACGCCTGTTGTACTGGAGGAGATAGATTTGATTTGTCTCTCCACTATTGACTTAACATTGTTTATGACCAGGCTCTTTGCAGGAAAGTAAGTTAGATGTGCGTCAGTGCATGCCATTAACATTGCCATCAGCAGGTAACTTTCAGATTATGGTCCTTCTTCCAGTCTCATTCATCATCACCGTCCAGAGTGGGCTTCTCGGTGTGTGCATCCATCAGACTATACTGTCAACCAGAGAGTTCCCCCTCCAGCGATCTATTAAATATTAATGAACATAAAGGAAACGAATGTGTAGAGAAGGAACACCATGTGGGTGTTTCACATGGGGATGTGTGAAACTCTGGGCTCGAGCCTAGGTATGAGCCGAATCAGGAAGAAGCGGTACTCGCTAGGCAAGCTGCGTGACGTCCGTTACGGATGGTGCCATGACTCGGATCTGCAGTTGCGCTCAGATCAATGCTGGGGTTGCTGTGGAGTAAGTTTGGGGGGTTAATGTAGCACATGGGTATGTGTGAAACTCACTCCATAGCCTGAAGTGTCCCCACTTGCGCCGCAGAATGTCTTACTTGCGACTGGAGAGACGCTTCAGGAGAGCGGACGGTGTGTTTGAAAGGCAGGCGCCAAATAGACCGAAATAACATTCTGTGAGTTTCCTGAGGCAGAGTTTATTTGTTGTAGAACGCAACACATTTATTATTAATGAGACGTGGGCCCATCAGGGAAGAGAGAGGAGAGGAATCAGAGAGACATCCTGGACAAGTGTGAGGGATGGAGGGCCCGAGAAGGAGATGGAGAGATCAACCGCAGTGGGAGAGCCTTGGAGGATGGGTAAAATTTTAGCTATTTGGGTATGTGGTGTTGTGAGGCAGGTGGGATGGAGATGGATGTATAGAGAGGTAAGGGAAACACAGACTGAGGTGAGACTATGTTTGAGAGATTGTCACACATACTGTATACAGAGAACGTTCAACAATCCACAACTGTGATCTATGTCAGCAATCCTACCTACTGCCTTACAACACCTGTCTTGGCCGTCACCGATTGCGTGTATGTAATTAGCTGATATGGTAAAACTTGTTTAAGGCTGTGACCTCACAGCCTAAAAATGGCCTACTATTCAGTCCTATGTTTGAATCAGAAAGAAATATTGGTGTGATAGTATGGGAGAGGATGTGTTCCAACTGGCACCCTATTTCCTATACAGTGCATTACTTTTGACCAGAGTCCATCAACAACAACTTGATTTGCCTTCATCAACAACTTGATTTGCTGTTTCATGTTTCCCTTGTAATTGCACCTAAAATCCACAACATATTTTGCAAACACCAACTTTCAGGTTTGTGAACCACTTTGGGTGGTACAGAATGGAAATATGGTGTTTAAAATCCTCAAACCAGCTTCAAACACACAGTTTTGGTGCATTACTTTTTGTAATTAAAGGGTTGGAATTCTCCCTCTCTCTCTCTCTCTCTTTGCATTGTTGTGAGGTAACCAACAATGCAAAGAGCGAGAGCGAGAGAGACTGTTGACACCCCAAAAAAGCCTGGAGTGACACCAATGCTTCTATGGAAAAACACCACAAGGGTTGCAAATAGTTCAATAACACACTTATTTATTTATGTTTATCCACTTCAAAACCATAAAATATTCTCTACATGTGTAACTATTGCAATTATATAACTTGTATTTATCTTAAGGAAGGTAGTGTAAATGTCTAAAGCTCTAAGTAAATACTATTTATTAGATAAAACACATTTTTATACACTACTATTCTGTTTATGTCTGGCCATATCTCCACTTGGCCTAAGAAATGCCATTTAATTCTCAGTCCAGACAAGACTCCGCTCTCATGAATCCATGTACTTCATGACTAATGTTATTGGTAGGTATCCCAGTACATCGACCTTATTTTTTTACTTCGATAGTTTGTAGGAAATAACCCATACCAGTATCGCATACAGCATTGCGCATCATCTTTATGCATGTGGATCATGAAATTCTTGGAGCAAACAGAGACCACTCAGGCTGCTTTACAAAACAAGATAGAACGCTGTTTATTCATATCACAACTCATTTTTGGTTACAGAAACATCCAGTTGAAAATAAAATATTTCATAAGTTCAATATAAGCCTTTTTGGGGTTTGGACAATCTTTCAGAATGCAACCTGTCACTCTCCCGATAATCGTATATTGTAGTATCATAACAATACTACTATCACATGTCGTTCTGATGTAACAGTTTTAGTTTGCCATCAATTTACATTCAGACCGATTCAGACCAATTCAATTCACAAGCACTTGAGCAGGTAAGAGTTGAAGAATGCTCCGCGAAGACAGTCGCACATTTTGCCGATTCTCGCGCCCTTTCTCACTGCTCACTGCTCTCCAACGTCGCACTGAAAAGAGAAGGTAAACAAAATAAGATCGTGTGTGACATTTTTGCCAACAGATGCAAAGGTCTATGGGGCCATATCCACCTGTCACCACATCAGATCACATCATCCACAAAACATGGCACATGAAAGCATTTAGTGAAAGTTAAAATGTTGAAATTTAGTTTTACGCGCCAGTTTAGACAATACATTTTTAGAAGTATAGGTCTTTCCACTTTTAGAAGCTTCGTTCAAATTGTTATATTTACCGTAGGGACTTGGCCGAATTTCTTTTCCCAGAATGGAAGTCTCTTGGTCTGCAGCTTTTTAAGAACGTCATGTAGTGCTCCAAGCTGTGGGAAATATGGAATATGGACACATTAGAATGAGAAATCCTTCCAAAGCAGACCTCTCCAATAGACAAACAGCTAATACTAATCAATCAATAAAGTCGCACGTTTTACTTTTAGCCTAGATAGAAACTTACCAGTTGCTTTTCGTTGGTCAAGTTCGGATCTTTAGGGTAGAAGTCTCTCACACTTCTTGTGTCGAGGTCCAATTCGGAATCCGAATAGTCCATTTCAGCACTAAGAACGATGGACAGCAACACCGCGCAAACCACTGCTCTGGTCCATAATCTGGAATTTTCCATGGTCCTTAAGAGATTGCGCACAGTAGAATATATCTTTCGTCTCCAAGAGGTCCTGTTCAAATACTCCAGTTACCGCAATCCAAACACCTTTTATCTGTTTACAGCCTCCATGTACTTCATGACTAATGTTATTGGTAGGTATCCCAGTACATCGACCTTATTTTTTGTTTCAATAGTTTGTAGGAAATAACTCATACCATTATCGCACACAGCATTGCGCATCATCTTTATGCATGTGGATCATGACATTCTTGGAGCAAACAGAGACCACTCAGGCTGCTTTACAAAACAAGATAGAACGCTGTTTATTCATATCACAACTCATTTTTGGTTACAGAAACCTCCAGTTGAAAATAAAATATTTCATAAGTTCAAAATAAGCCTTTTTGGGGTTTGGACAATCTTTCAGAATGCAACCTGTCACTCTCCGGATAATCGTATATTGTAGTATCATAACAATATTCCTGTATCACGTCGTTCTGATGTAACAGTTTTAGTTTGCCATCAACTTACATTCAGACCGATTCAGACCAATTCAATTCACAAGCACTTGAGCAGGTAAGAGTTGCAGAATGCTCCGCGAGGACAGTCGCACATTTTGCCGATTCTCGCGCCCTTTCTCACTGCGCACTGCTCTCCAACGTCGCACTGAAAAGAGAAGGTAAACAAAATAAGACCGTGTGTGACATTTTTGCCAACAGATGCAAAAGTCTATGGGGCTATATCCACCTGTCACCACATCAGATCACATCATCCACAAAACATGGCACATTAAAGCGTTTAGTGAAAGTTAAAATGTTGAAATGTAGTTTTACGCGCCAGTTTAGACAAAACACTTTTAGAAGTATAGGTCTTTCCACTTTTAGAAGCTTCGTTCAAATTGTTATATTTACCGTAGGGACTTGGCCGAATTTCTTTTCCCAGAACGGAAGTCTCTTGGTCTGCAGCTTTTTAAGAACGTCATGTAGTGCTCCAAGCTGTGGGAAATATGGAATATGGACACATTAGAATGAGAAATCCTTCCAAAGCAGACCTCTCCAATAGACAAACAGCTAATACTAATCAATCAATAAAGTCGCACGTTTTACTTTTAGCCTAGATAGAAACTTACCAGTTGCTTTTCGTTGGTCAAGTTCGGATCTTTGGGGTAGAAGTCTCTCACACTTCTTGTGTCGAGGTCCAATTCGGAATCCGAATAGTCAATTTCAGCACTAAGAACGATAGACAGCAACACCGCGCAAACCACGGCTCTGGTCCATAGTCTGGAACTTTCCATGGTCCTTAAGAGATTGCGCACAGTAGAAGATATCTTTCGTCTCCAAGAGGTCCTGTTCAAATACTCCAGTTACCGCAATCCAAACACCTTTTATCTGTTTACAGACTCCATGTACTTCATGACTAATGTTATTGGTAGGTATCCCAGTACATCGACCTCATTTTTTTACTTCAATAGTTTGTAGGCAATAACCCATACCATTATCGCATACAGCATTGCGCATAATCTTTATGCATGTGGATCATGAAATTCTTGGAGCAAACAGAGACCACTCAGGCTGCTTTACAAAACAAGATAGAACGCTGTTTATTCATATCACAACTCATTTTTGGTTACAGAAACATCCAGTTGAAAATAAAATATTTCATAAGTTCAAAATAAGCCTTTTTGGGGTTTGGACAATCTTTCAGAATGCAACCTGTCACTCTCCCGATAATCGTATATTGTAGTATCATAACAATACTACTATATCACATGTCGTTCTGATGTAACAGTTTTAGTTTGCCATCAATTTACATTCAGACCGATTCAGACCAATTCAATTCACAAGCACTTGAGCAGGTAAGAGTTGCAGAATGCTCCGCGAGGACAGTCGCACATTTTGCCGATTCTCGCGCCCTTTCTCACTGCGCACTGCTCTCCAACGTCGCACTGAAAAGAGAAGGTAAACAAAATAAGACCGTGTGTGACATTTTTGCCAACAGATGCAAAAGTATATGGGGCTATATCCACCTGTCACCACATCAGATCACATCATCCACAAAACATGGCACATTAAAGCGTTTAGTGAAAGTTAAAATGTTGAAATGTAGTTTTACGCGCCAGTTTAGACAAAACATTTTTAGAAGTATAGGTCTTTCCACTTTTAGAAGCTTCGTTCAAATTGTTATATTTACCGTAGGGACTTGGCCGAATTTCTTTTCCCAGAATGGAAGTCTCTTGGTCTGCAGCTTTTTAAGAACGTCATGTAGTGCTCCAAGCTGTAGGAAATATGGAATATGGACACATTAGAATGAGAAATCCTTCCAAAGCAGACCTCTCCAATAGACAAACAGCTAATACTAATCAATCAATAAAGTCGCACGTTTTACTTTTAGCCTAGATAGAAACTTACCAGTTGCTTTTCGTTGGTCAAGTTCGGATCTTTAGGGTAGAAGTCTCTCACACTTCTTGTGTCGAGGTCCAATTCGGAATCCGAATAGTCCATTTCAGCACTAAGAACGATGGACAGCAACACCGCGCAAACCACTGCTCTGGTCCATAATCTGGAATTTTCCATGGTCCTTAAGAGATTGCGCACAGTAGAAGATATCTTTCGTCTCCAAGAGGTCCTGTTCAAATACTCCAGTTACCGCAATACAAACACCCTTTATCTGTTTACAGCCGTAACCGATGTCTGTGGCTTCCGTTGTGCCACCTTAACCATAGATTTTTCATACGTAAGCGAGATGGCGTGGGTGAGTCATTGCGTAAAGTTGGCTGGCTTGTCATTGCGTAAAGTTGCGGGCGCTCCTACAAGGCATAGCCTACTCTCTTTTTTTTTTCTTTTTTTTTGACGACATGAGATGTTTTCTATGACATGGTATGTGCCAGAAATAGCACCTCGATATTCAGGCTGGACGGGATGACGAGGTCCATTTGGAGAGGGGTCAGTTTTTGGCAGAGGAAAGACGGAAGAAACAGTGTACCTCAGGTAGAGCATGGCGCTTGCAACGCCAGGGTTGTGGGTTCGATTCTCACGGAGGACCAGTACAAAATGTATGCACTCAGAACTGTAAGTCGCTCTAGATAAGAGCGTCTGCTAAATGACTCAAATGTAAATGTAATGTAAATAGTTATGCTATATCAGTGTAAGATAGTAGCGTTGCGCGTTAATTACTAGTGTAATTGCAAAAATCCACCATTGTACCTGGTTATTGGATGCAAACTTTTATAGCCTATAGAATTGACGATCTTATCAAATAATTACACCCGTTTCATTGTGTATTTTGGACACATTACAGATGACACCATGAACGTAAAAAAAAAATGTAGGCCAATAGTTTTAGTTATCTCTGGTGCCATGTGCGGTGAGGCTGCTGTGCTGTACATTTTTTGTCCCATTTTCTCGCCAAAAAATCATGGCATCCAGAAATCCTTCTGTTTGGAGACTTGGGTTGGGAAACAGACTAAACTGGTCAGAACTCCACATGACGCACTAGCCTACTCATCTTTAACCATTCTGTGCATTGAGACAATTAACCACAACACAAGCAGGGTTATCGTGTAGAGATGATCATTAGAAATATTGACACAGATCACAGACGGGGATACTGTGTTGCTGTGTTGCTGTTACATTATGTTTTTGTTTTTGATCATCTCGGTTTCTGACGGCAGCATCAAGTTTCTCCGGGTTCGGAGTTGGCTATTCACGAAACATCCGAACATCTCTTTTGATCTCTTATTTCCGCGATATCCCCGTTTCCTCTCTGTCAGCCCGAGACGGAGATGAGGACTAGAGCGCTTTGATTGCGCTGGGGCTCTGCGCATTTGTGTGAGTCACTCCTCTATTTTCCAATTACCGACTTCGACGCCGGATAGGCCTATTAAAAACAAATGTTATTCACAACAGATAAAACACATGTTTATTAGCAGTGGTGGGAAAAGTACCCAATTTTTCATAAGCTACTTGAGTAAAGATACCTTAATAGAAAATGTCTCAAGTAAAAGTGAAAGTCACCCAATAAAATACTACTTGAGTAAAAGTCTAAAGGTATTTGGTTTTAAATGTACAGTGGTGGAAAAAGTATCCAATTGTCATAATTGAGTAAAAGTAACAAGTAAAAGTAAATGCTATAGGAGACATCAAATTTCTTAAATAAGCAAACCAGTTGGCACAATTTTTATTTTTAATTATCTATAAATCATGGACAGTCAGGCGCAGGTTCCCTATGGTCCCTCTCAAGGCAATTTCAAGAATTCAATTGTTATTATTTGTGATCGGTTTGCGTTGCTTTTATTGGATGTAGGCCTACACAAAGATGTCTTTGCATTTGTGTTGAGTTGTGATGTTTTGCATTGTGTTGTTGCCATAGTTTTATTCAACAACACATCAGCTGCTAGGAGAGCTTCTCCTCTCATTCAGATATTTCCTAACTAGACCCAACAATAAAGCACCAATTAACCTACACATGGAAGGTCAAGGAAATTAAGCTTTTTATTGATCATGGAGGCAGCCAAAGCCAACCCACATTCTGGGAAATTCAGATAATTAGAACCAGATTTCTGTCTAGACCAAATAAATCAACATTGGCTGTATACATAGCGCCTACTTCAATCCATCAATGAAGAAGGCGTCAGGCACTGACTGCAAAACTTAGTCTGGGTATTCTTTTTAGTGCAGCAATAGTAACTACTCCATATATGCTTTTTAAATCTACAATTGAATGGAAAAGTTTCAATAGACAAGACTCTACTGTAATCACTTTTCTTTCACTTCATTTGTATAGATCTGTCACACACACAACACAAAAAGGATACCAACAAACAGAACAGACACAACAATCACAGTCAACACCACACAATGTCATATATAGAGCTCCAGCCCATGATATTGATTGATTGATTTTATGTGTGTGTGTGTGTGTGTGTGTGTGTGTGTGTGTTTAGGAGTGCAACGGAGAAGAGACAAGTGAAAATACAGTGGAAGAGTACAAGAGAGAGACAGGATCGAGGTTAAAGGTTATCCAACTTGTTTACCCTGAGTGAAGGATTCTGTTATGATGGTATGAAGGTACACTGCCTTTCTCAGCTGTGTGTGTGTATGTGTTACTGCCTGTGTGTGTGTTACTGCCTGTGTGTTCTAGTGCCTGTGTGTGTGTGTGTTACTGCCTGTGTATGTGTTACTGCTTGTGTGTGTGTGTATGTGTTACTGCCTGTGTGTGTGTTACTGCCTGTGTGTGTGTTACTGCCTGTGTGTTCTAGTGCCTGTGTGTGTGTGTATGTGTTACTGCCTGTGTGTGTGTTACTGCCTGTGTGTGTGTGTGTTACTGCCTGTGTGTGTGTGTGTTACTGCCTGTGTATGTGTGTTACTGCCTGTGTGTGTGTTACTGCCTGTGTGTCCTAGTGCCTGTGTGTGTGTGTTACTGCCTGTGTATGTGTTACTGCCTGTGTGTGTGTGTGTATGTGTTACTGCCTGTGTGTGTGTTACTGCCTGTGTGTGTGTGTGTTACTGCCTGTGTATGTGTTACTGCCTGTGTATGTGTTACTGCCTGTGTGTGTGTTACTGCCTGTGTATGTGTTACTGCCTGTGTATGTGTTAGTGCCTGTGTGTGTGTGTATGTGTTACTGCCTGTGTGTGTATGTGTTACTGCCTGTGTGTGTTACTGCCTGTGTGTGTATCAATGTTGTCTTTGAAGTCAATTCCCAACTGAACGGTGCTGCTGTTGTGTAGGAGAACTCATTCTTCATGATTTCCTCCCCTAGTTATCCCTTCCTTCCCTCCTCCTTCTCTCTTCCTCCCCTCTTCCTCCCATTATCCTTCCCATCTTCCGCCCCTCAACCTCTAAGCTTCCTCCCATCTTCATCCCCTCTTCCACCCTCTTCCTCCCCACTTCCTCCCCTCTTCCTTCCCTCTTCCTTCCCTCTTCCTCTTAGCTTCCTCCCATCTTCCTCCCCTCTTCCTCTTAGCTTCCTCCCATCGTCCTCCCCTCTTCCTCTTAGCTTCCTCCGATCTTCCTCCCCTCTTCCACCCCTCTTCCTTCCCTCTTCCTCCCCTCTTCCTTCCCCTCTTCCTTCCCTCTTCCTCTTAGCTTCCTCCCATCTTCCTCCCCTCTTCCTTGCCCTCTTCCTTCCCTCTTCCTTCCATCTTCCTCCCCTCTTCCTCTTAGCTTCCTCCCATCTTCCTCCCCTCTTCCTCTTAGCTTCCTCCCCTCTTCCTCCCATCTTCCTCCCCTCTTCCTTCCCCCTCTTCCTCTTCTTTCCTCCCCTCTTCCTCCCCTCTTCCCCCCTCTTCCTCCCCTCTTCTTTCCCTCTTCCTCCTTCCCCCCTCTTCCTTCCCCTTCCTTCCCTCTCTCCCTCTTCTGCTTCCTCCCCATCTCTCTCCTCCCCTCTTGCTCCCCTCTTCCTCCCCTCTTCCTTCCCTTCCTTTCCATCTTCTTCTCCCTCTCCTCTGACTTCCTCCCATCTCCATCTTCTCTTCCTCCTGCTTCCTCCCCTCTTCCTCCTCCTTAAATCTTCCTTACATCTTCCCTAATAAGATCCTACTTCTGCTGGTGTTTGTTTTATTGAGACTCCCAAATCCCCTCCCTTTGTAGCCTTTCTCCCCTGTGTGTGTGTGGGTTGCGTGTGTGGGTGTGTGCGTGCGTGTTTGTGTGCATGTGTATGTTGTGTGTGTGTGTGTGTGTGTGCGGTGTGTGTGTCAGTAGGGTCTAATTATCAAGCCAATAGGACTTTGCGCTGCTGCCATTGATTCTGCGTGGGAGTGGATGATTACGTCCTTCTTGCCTCAGATATTTAAATGTTGTTTACTCTCTCACAGTAGAGGACAATCATAAGATCTGGGCTCAAACAAACACAAAGAAGATGGCTGAGTCCCAACTGGCAGCCCATTCCCTATAGGGCTTTGCTCAAAAGTAGTGCACTATATATACAGTATAGGGAATAGGGTGCCATTTGGGACGCAGACGAAGAAGACGGCATCCTGCACTGCACCGAGCTGCTGCGTCATGGCAGAGGGAGTTGGAACAAAGCTAGAAATCTTGTCTTTAGTGGGCATAAACTTGGACTTGCGCCGCACGTCTTTCTTGGACATCCATGTATGATTCATGAGAAGGTTCAAACTACTGTATGCTCACACACACACACACACACACACACACACACACACACACACACACACACACACACACACACACACACACACAAATAATAAAATAGTACGGATTTACTTATCAAAATAAAGTTTTGAATGAAAATACAGGTAACTGCCAAAATAAAGGAAAGCACCTTCTTTCAATATACAAAGTATACTGAAAGAAGGTGCTCCCACACAGGTGTGGTTCATGAGTTAATTAAGCAATTAACATCCCATCACACACACACACACACACACACATACACAGGCTTCTTTATCTGGATCCCCATTAGCTGATGCCGGGGTCCAATTCATCTCTGATCAGTGAGTTGGGTTTTTAGTTCAGTTTAGTTTTATTTTGTACATGGCAGCTA